CATTCGATGTTGTAGTCACGATCAAGGTGCTCTAACGAAATTTCTGTGAAATTCCTGATATCTCGAACTCGAGTCCAAATTTTCAAAATTTCTGCTCGAACTAGTGTTCTCACAGAAATACACCCCAGACTTAAAAAGGGATATCGGACTGCTAAAACAGGTGGAAACATGCACGACCTTAAGACGGAAGACGTTCGCAGCGATACGTTAGGTTCTTCTCATTTGTTTCCTCCTCTCGCTACTTCTTCATGCTCCCTTGTTCTTGTTCAGTTGATTTCGATCTACTGCACCTTGAGGCGCCTTCGTCTGCAAAGGTTTTCTTACTGACTATGAGAGCAGTGAGGCGCACCTTACGGATATTTATGTTGTGGATTTTATCGAGTAATTCAGAAGTATAATTGTACTTTGCTGGAATTAACAATATTATTTCAGATGATCAGACGGACTACAGGCTCTCTGTACTCATTATGTCGATCTGTCTACATCCCTGTGAGGTGCGTCAAGAACAGTTCAGACCATAAGAATACCGTGAATTTGCGTTATCTACACTCTTGATCCCTGAGATGTGGCAGGCGTGGCTGCGTACTTCAGCTGAAATGAGTTTTTGGTTAGATATTTTCATTCTGGGACAGTTGTTGCCGCGTCTCAGGGGTGCAGATCAGGAGACCCACGCCGCGGCAACGTGCGCCAAATAGCTAGTGGAAATGCTGTTATACGGTTAGTTGGCTAGTATTTCCTAGCTAATTGACTTATCATAACAGCATTTCCAGATTATACCGGTCAGGTCGTGGTATGAACGTTGCGCCCGTTACCCATCCTGCAATGTTGCTGTCACTGCTTCGCCACAATCAGGACATGTTCTGCCGTTAAGCGGAAGGGAGGAAGGTCAGGTGGAATAGCCAACCTAAAACAGCAAAAAAAAGCGGAAGAAAACCAAGAGACGAAAGAAATTTTTCTCAGAAGATAATGCGACTCCCCCTCCTCCTTCCAACGACTGAATACCACCCCCTCGCTATAGGTCTGCAACGTAAGACGCACCCAGGACCAACGTGGTCCCTCCCGTCCAACGCCCCGCTCTACCACACGTAAGATCGTGGGGTTCCATTGTTTAATAGCTAATGTAGTGAAGTGCAAGAAGATGGAAACTCAGAGTGGTTAACTGAGTCAAACATTAGACTCCTAAGGATTTGTCCATTCTAGTCTTTTCTCCTCCTGAGACACCTGCACACTGCAGTCCATAAAGAGCTCGATCGTTACTTTCTGCTGTACACATTTGTACATTTTTCCGAATTGTGATCCTCTTCCACATCACTTCAGGACATTTGCTTCTAACCAAGAGCTGTTTGATAAAGCTCAGAAGGACCTGAAGACGTTAAAAGAAGAGCCAGATGTGGATGTCAAGTTGCAAATGTACGGCCTATTCAAACAGGTGTTGATCTCAACAATTTTCAGATTCTGATTTGCTTTATCCAAAATATCTTGTAGGCTACTGTTGGGGACGTCCAGGGCAGTCGCCCAGGTATGATGGACTTTGCTGGGAGGGCGAAGTTTGATGCTTGGACAAAGGTGAAAGGACTTAGTAAGGTGAGTTCTGTTACTCTCAGCCATGCTGGAATTTCGCTAACGGAACACCTTCAGGAAGAGGCGCAAGCGAAGTATGCCAAAATAGTTGAGACGTTGTTGGGCGAGCAGGCACCTCCACCTCCAGCTGGATCTGCCCCGATGGGATTGACGCCTGTTGAAGGGCTAGATGTGCGTTCAATCTTTATTCATTCTAGTAGTTCTTCTATTATGGCTTCCATGGGAACACCGTAGTCCACGAGCTGCTACAGTTTCCCTTATGCCAATATTCCTTCAAGTGGCGCTGACTCCCTTATGACCCCTTTGGTGGGGGGGAGGCGTTTTTGAAAAATATACGAGCTGGTACGTTGCGAAATTATACCAATTCCTTTTTGAGTGGTAATGTCGCACGGAGCGGCTGAATCATTGGAGTCGAGAGATTTTCTGTCACGCCAAAGAAGTCCTCCATCAGTTTGAAGGTTCAGCATCAGCTAGAAGTGTAACGAAGTGTTAATCGAACATTGGTGCTGCTCTAGATCTGTCGGGCCGAAAATGGGGAACAAGTGACATCAAGGTTGTTTGTTGTGAGGCACATAGTATTCTGAAACAACATAAAGAAACCATCAGTCGCGCAATTAGCCAAGTGGGAATATTGCACTCTATCTAGACTGATCAAACATTCCTTGCCTGAAACCTCCAGTTTAACAAAAGCGTTTGATAATCCAAGAACTCTCTTGGTCGCCCGGAATGCATGACGAAAGCTAATGGTAACCAGGGTACAAGTACCGCGTTGTGTGTAAACAGAATAGGGGGTCGCACAATTCCGCTGAGGAGGAGGGTTGTATTTGGTCGTTGGTGTGGGGGTGGTTCAGTGGTGTTTTATATCAACGGCAAGAACAAGAGGAATAAGTTGTAATAAGCTCTTTATGTAACGGAACCCACGTATACTCGATGAGGATGACTGAGGAAGTATGATTCCCCCTACCTGGCTTGACCCCGCATCAGGTAGGACGGATTCAATGAGGGATCGTCGTCTCAGACTGTGAGACGACGATGAGGGAAGGGGGCGTGTCAGGACACGACGATAGTTGGGAGAGGGGCTCGCTGATGTTGCCGTGCTTGAAGAAAATGTCGCCGCAGAAGCGGAAGTAATATTATTTTTCGCTCTTGTTTACTTTTACGCCTATTGTGTGTGTTTCATGGGCAGTGTTTTTATTCTGTTTTGTTTTTAATTAGTACCGCCCCCCCCCTTCCGTCTCAGGCACTGCCAAACCGGGAAGCCTGCTCCTCTACTTTTCTTTTCTTCATCCTTCCCTTCTTTCCTTCCTTCCTTCTCTAAAAACTACTCGTCTCCCTTTACCTTCTCCCTCCAACTACTGGACTGGTAGATGCCTCGTGAAAATACCCCTAGACCCTCGCATCGACGCACGTCTGGTTGACAACAGCCCTCCCCTCCCCTTCCCCCGCTCGGGCGGAAAATCTTTGGGTGAAGAACTGGAAATTGTGGGAAATTGGTAGATAGGTGTTGGGGAAGGGGCAAGCGGTAATACTGACACCGCTTCCTCGAGCTGGGGGGGGTGGTTGCACTGACACCACTATTTCATACATCACGAGGCTGCCCTGATGGTAAGTGCGCGATGCGTTTCACAGTCACTGGTCAGCGCAAGCAGGGTACAGCATCGTGATGTGTGAAATGGTGGTGCCAATACGACCCCCCTCTCGAGCGAGGGTCTTGGTACGAACCTCACGTAACAATAAGTGAGGGTTGGGGGATCCCCCTCCCCCCCCCCCCTTTCCCAACACACTACCTACAAAGATTGTCCGCCAACATTTTCCAGTTTTCGCCCACAGATTATCCGTCGAGCGGGTTGGGGGAGGGGGAGGAAGGTATATAGCCAATGTGAAATGGGAAAAGCTTTTTTCAGAAATTTCCCGAAAAGTTCCCTATTCCCACCCAAAATTTTGCTGTTGAGAGGGGAGGGGTGGCGGCGGGGGGGGGTATAACACACATGAAACAGGAAAAATCACGCGAAAAATCATCATCAACAACCGGGAAATTTTTTCCATCGCGACAAATTTCTGTCGAAGCCATATACGACCCCCTCTCCCAACATCGACTGAATACGACCCCCCCCTCCCCAGCTGAAAACACGACCCCCTATGTGTTTCACACAACGATGCCGTACCCTGAGCGCAAAACCCCAACCATTGATTACTGTGTTCAACCACTCCGTGCGATGTGGCAACCCACTCAACATGAAATAGGTATGATTCCTCTGTATGTCACAATATTCCTATAATTTGAAGCCCGTCTGTGCCGGGAAGTTGCACCCTTACCTTAAGGTTTGAACTTTTCGAAAGATGGACTAGGACATCCTATTTTATTCGAGCCTTGCTTCTTAAAGAGCTCATTTGAAAACGAAGTGTCTAATCCGGGAGTACAATACCCGGATTGGCTGAAGAGTGGGGGCTAATCTGGCTCTTTGCTCCTACATGACCTTCGTTATAGTTTCTGTTGAGCTTTTCCTACTTAGCCTTATGTAAGAATCAGATGTAGTCCCTGGAAAGTACTACATGGACGTCCACGTTCGACCCTCGATGAATCTTGGCATATTGTGTGGTTTTCTCTGGGATATTCCTGTAGCGGATCCCAGAGAAAGAGGCGGAGGTGGTGTAGTGACAAGTGGCGCGCTTACCACTCGCGCGGCGCCGGGTTCGAATCCCGGGTCGACACCCGCCCAGGCCAACCAAGCCTTCTACCCTCCGGGGACGGTAAATTGGTACCAGATTCGTCTGGGAGGATAAAACACTGACTTCCTATCCTTTTATTGCTGTAGCCGTAACCAAGATGATATAACAGTTTTATTTGCTAACGTTTCGGCCTTATCGCCTTCGTCAGAGCCTGGAAAAATCAAAGATCAGGGTGAAACTATCCCCCGAACAAAACCTCAGATAAGTTCGTCCCAAACCAGAAGGCTCCAGAAATCTGTCACAACCATAGGTCACAACCACAATACGGCTCACCTTGAATGTACGTGATGGCGAGGCATTCCTCTTCTTGTTGAACAAGAAGGACGAATGCCTCGCCATCACAAACGAGCTCGCCCCGTTTGCTGACCTGTGTGGGCTTCAATTGCCATCGGCTTCGAGTCGAGGGGCCAGGTCAGCTGAAGCCACCCACGGGGAGTCAGTTTGAATGGTCATGTAGTATTTTCTGTGATATTGCTGTAGCCGTAAGCAAGATGATATAACAGTTTTATTGAGCTAATGTTTCGGCATTATCGCCTTTCGTCAGAGCCTGGAAAAATCAAAGATCAGAGTGAAACCATAACCCGAACACCATTTTCAAACCTCAGATAAGTTCGTCCCAGACCAGAAGGTTCCAAAATCTGTCATAGGTCACAACCACAATAC